CACACTTAGTTTCATTTGTCTTTTAAAAATATTGCTGGATTGGCTGTCCAATATATTTGAATTTCATAATCTATCTGTCTGCATTCAACCTCTTAATTTGAAGACAAATGTGTATTGTTTGAGAAAGAAAGTAATTCACTAGCTAGAACTAGGTAAATAAGAATTTGTGTAGAAAATTGTCATTCATGTCAGCTGCTATTCAGAGAAAGCAACACTTCATGACTTTTGACAAATGAATCAACACAAATTTGAAAACATGTTGCCTTAGTCAATGTTGTCATATAAAAAGAAAACCTTATTCTGTTCAAGTACCGGATATAATTCTTCTTAATACTTTTGATAATTAAAAACCATCGTAGTTGTCTCTCATTTATCTTTAGACAAACCAATAACCACTCTTTTGGAGCACTCAACTCCAAACCTGGCATGAAATTCAACGCAATTTTTAACAACATAAAAGTAATTAATCAGTTCATGGTGTCAAGCATCACAATCTTGGCCTCTGCAAGCAATATTCTATTCGCCATGTTATACATTCCTGCTTTACTTAAATGTTTAGCAACTACTATGTTTGTTATTTGGGGAAAATGCTGTGTATATCAAAGCAGAAACAAACCTGGCCGTGGAAGTGGTAACTGCTGTGCTGCAGAGTCGCAAAGAATCAAGTTGATTGGGGAAGAAAATCTTGATTAAAAACTTGTCATTAGAGACAGAAAAAAAAATTATATATAGAATAAAATGTTTAATATAATACTTAAATTATAAAATTCTCTGACTTAGTAAATTAGTTGTTTAAGTTGATTTTTTTTTCATATACTTAAGTTATACAAACAATATTCTTGCATATAATAGATTAATCTTTTTAAATTAAAATTTGTTGGTATAGGTAAATTATAAGATAACTATGAATAAAAGCTCAAGTAATACATACTTAATAAGTAAGGTCTGGACTTCAAACTTCATAAATTAAAACCATTTCTGTTGAAAAAATTAACCTTACTGTATATTGTAAACAATTTCAATCCAAACAAAATTACTTCTTATAAAAGATACTATTAATTTAGAAAAATAACTCATAACTCTGTATTAGACTCTTGATATGTCTAATGAATAAAAACCATTCAATCATAAGTTCAAGAAGAGTACGAACTATTTCATGGACAGGAATGTGACATGACACGAATGTGTATACATATATTACATATAATTTAATTATTCAACATTTAAGAAAATAAATTATCTCGCCCACATATAAACTTGAAAAACACAATATCTTTATATATGTCAAAATATAAATTTTGTACATATAAAATTAGTGTGTGATGAAAGAACTCCGCATTATGTATTTATCATTAAAAATTATTTGAAAACTTATAATTTATAAATAATGATAAGTTGATTGAAAACTTTTAACTTATAATTAATTAGCTAATCTTTAAAATTGTTTAATAAAATTAATTATATAATTAAATCAAATATATTAAATAATTAAAAAAGTGTTAATATTTTGAATGAATATAAATTATTTAAAAAAATTATCAAAAGTTACATTATAATAAGTTAAATATTACTTATAATAACTTTTTATAAATTTCCATTCATTCTTTATTCATATTTATAAAATAAATTTATTAATAAAAATAAATGGTAAATTCTTAAATAAATTATAAATCTGTGTTATTAAACTTATTCTTAAAAAATTTAAAAGCAAATCCAATCTCTGCATGTCGTGTCCTGCAGTGTTGTTGTCAATAAATAAATAAATGAAATGAACACATACAACATACAGTGCTGTATCAAACATGTGTCATTGGTGTGTCATATCTTCCACGTGTCCAACACAACACTAAACCAACATATCCATGCATTATGGCTTGCACAGCCATTGTTGTTGCTGGTTGCTGCCATAAGTGATACCTCAGTGGAGTCACTTTCTCAATGAGAAATATTGTCTTGCCTTTCTTTTTCTTTCAATTTTCTTTCTTCCATGCTTGTTTTATTGTTATACATGTCAACAACTTTGATAATTTGGCTTTCTTAAAATTAAATAATAACAGTGATTACGAAATTAAATCACTAAAAATCAAACATAAGTTATTAACTGTTCTTAAAAGCCGCAAAATATGCTGTAATTATGTTTTAATCTTCACAGATATAATTTATAAGAGACAATTATGTTTAAATATATTTTTTTACAACACTTTTTTATACACAAAATTTAAACAAATTAAAATCACTGCATGTACTTATAAATATAATTTATATAGTGTAATTGTAAATATTAATTTTAAAAATAATAAATTATAAACGAAAAATTTAATTATTAATTTTTAATCAATTACTATATAATTGCATGTTAAGTTCTAAAACATAAAAATTTTAATTTAGAGGAACCAAATGACACCTTTGTCGATTGTCTAAAGCAATATAAAGTCTTCAAAAGGTTGAGGAAAAGGGTGTTGATAAAAATGACAATATAGTAGATAGAATTAAGAGTGCATAAGAATATTACTTTAATAAAAACAAAAGCAGAATACGAAATGAATGGATCCCCAAAGTGAGAGGTGGTGTGATTATTATTGATACCACCAAAATGGGGATCAACAGGACCCTCGTACAGGGAAAGGAGCAGCACGTAAAGGAAGAAAGTGGTGGTTAGTTGGATGTATAGACATGCCTCAATGATGGCCTTGCATCACTCACGTATCAACCCTATCATTGCGCTGTGTCTCTCTGTGTGTGTATGTGTGTTATCGTTTGTCTCCTAGAATGAGTATGCACCCTTTTCAGCATTGACCAACTTTTCCAGCTTAAATTGCGCAAGCACAACCTTTTCGTTGGATGAGATCGTTGGTGTGTTATGTGGGGTACCCAAAATCATATATTTATATTATTGTTCTTGGAGACCCTTTGCTTTTGTCTAAACGGAAAGGCCACACCCACTTGCATGACCAGGCTAACTTAGCTGTAATTACAAATGTCATCCTTTAAATTTTGAATAATTAAGCTACTATATAATAAACAACACAATAGGACATCATTGTGGTGGATTTTTCGTCCATGCTTTTGCTTGAGTTGAATAAATTGAATTAAAATACCTTATCTCATTTGCATTGGCCTCATGGTAAGCTAAAATATCTGCAGAAAGTAGACACATCTGCCTTTTTAATATTCACTATAAATCTTAACAACTTTACGTTTCTGTTTTGCATGAGTAAGCAACTTTGTCCTTAAAAAAATTACTCACTCTTGTTTACTCCTTGAATTTATTTATGTGAATGAGTAGATTTTAAATTTATAAAACTTGAACTCATGTTAGCTTTTTACTTAATTATCTAAAGATATTAAAGGGACTAACAAGATATGGGTGAATAAATTCAACAACTAAACTGCTGACATTAATAAATTTAATAACTAAACAACGAGTGGAAGATATTTCAAAGGTTAAGGGCCTATTTGGTTTTTAAAAATAATGTTATGATTCTATCTCTTATATTTAATAATAATTAGAAAAAATGTCATCTTAATCTCATCTTATTTCCTATTTTGAATATTTGCACAGAAAATTATGAAAATATCATTTTATTGCTTTTATCACTTCATACACAAATCTTTTACAAAAACAAAAGTAACATTTTACAATTATTAATAAAAATAGAAAATATTTTCTTAAACGTACATTTCAAGTTTTCTTTTGATTCTACATTTATATTTAGTACTGCACTTTCTAAAACGGGAAAAAAAGTTAAATGTTTCTATTCCCAAATGTATACACATCCTATTGGCCAATGTGGATCGGAAAATTGGATCTATATGCATCACCTAATGGTGCATATATGAATAAACAACCTTTTTAATGTGTCTAATGAGGACAGTTAATAAGAAATTAATATATAATAATTTATTATTAAAATATAACATTCAATGTTATTAATACATTAAATTATATATTATCTTCTAATTTTTAATAAATACTTACTATATATATATATATATATATATATATATATATATAAGTTTTTATTTATTTATTTTACCCATGTTAAAAAAAATGGATGGATAAATTATGTTGCCACTCTTGGAAGTTCCTTAGAGCTCGCTTTAATTATGCAACAAATATTGCAAGGCATGAGTGATGTTGGTAGTAATAAATGAGGCTACGTATGGAAGGCCACAATCTTTACAACAACACTTCACAGTTGCTGGATTGACAAATATTGTTGAGAGAAACATGATACCCCATTGGATTAGAACAAGTGCTTTCAGCAAAGAAAAAGGGCCACAAAACGCGTGAAGAGGTGTAGAGGGGTGCACCATGTGACAAGAGGATGATGCATGTGATGTACAGCATCAGCAACGAGTTAGTATCATAAACGGAAACCTATTTGAATTTAAGGGTACTCAAACATCCAAATTGAGGTTGCAGACGAGGGACAAGGAATGAGACAATCGACAAAAGGCATTGTTATGTGTAAAAAAGCACATGCACGGTCAAAACATCATGTGCTTGCCCATGTCACATGTCACTATTTCAAATTTTAAGAATAAGTCATGCTTCTTGTGTTTCTTTCGATTACCACCAACCTCATCATTTCAGAAAGAATGAGCCATCCAATTACCACTAATTACCTCCTTTCTCTACCCATTTCCACCTTCAACCCTATTTTGCTCTTAAGCAAGGTTGGTCTAGGAATCTGAATTGCTCTTCCTTTTTGCATTAGTGACCTATTACATAGTGCCGATCACTAGGCTGGTTACCATGTGAGTACACAAATATATCTCACTAATATTGGTTACAAAAGTCATATGAATCATATCATAATGCTAAGCTCGATTAAAAACTAAATTTTTAAAGATATTATGTATCAGGAGAACCTTTTGATAATTTCTTCTAATTTTGTTTTTAGGCTTTTTCTGACTCTTTTTCACAGGACTAAAAACTGTACAATCAACACAAGGTTATTAAACAAAAAATAAAATAAAATTGCACGGCATTATGCACATGGGGTCGACGATGTAGATAAGAGGGATTTGAAATTTTCTATATGGCACATGCTGATGGTAGATAATTTATCCATATGACAACGGATCGGGGCTGCAAACTGTTGAAAAGCACAACCCAGTTTCTTTTCAACTAATACAATTCAGGATACTAATTTTGAATTAAGAAGTGAATGTTCAGGCAACAAATCCTTCAAATTGAAGGTTGCAGCTTTCCATCAGCAATCTTGCAGTGGATCCAATTTGTACAGCAGAGGCTCCTATATCTATGCACCGTTCATGGCAGAGTCTGCATGGAGTGTATTGCCATCTTCCATGATCTTGCCATTTACTTGAGTTCTCTGCCTCTGAGCATATGAAAACAACCGTGTCACGTCTAGATCACAGACAAAGACATTACATGAAAGGAACAAGGGAAAGGACAAAGGATATTTGCCATACCCGATCTGCAGGGTCTCCTGAATTTCCATTCAATAGCTTGTGGTTCTCCTCTTTGGTCCTGCCATCTTTGTCTTTGGTGCTCAACGGTAGCAGGGTCGCAGCGGCAATTGACCGGTCTGGTAATTCTGCAGAATAACTATGTCAGAACAACAGCAAACAGCAACATAAGAACAAGACAATAGATTACATAATTTATGTCAATATTCTAACCTGGCAATTTCTTGTCTATGAAAAAGACCACCAAATTAACAGTGTACCTGCCAGCCATGGACCAAAAGATCAGCTCAAAGGGTCATAGACAACAGTTTTCCCATCACAAACAAAAAATGCTCCTTACCAGGCAACAACTACGTCAACCGTGTAATGTTTGCGGGATGCAACTATCAAAAGACTTTGAATAATAGCAAGCAACCATCCTAGCTGCTTTATTGACCTGGCGGTTCATCAATATTAAAGTTACAACAAACTAGAATACAAATTAAAACATAGCTAAGATTGCATGTAATTAAATGAATAATGAAGTAACTAAAAATTACTGCAAACAAATCTCCTAACAGACTTTAATTCTTTAACAAATACAAGATAGAGATTTATATGTCAATTTTACCTTCGAGTTCCATGTTTCTGATACGTGAGCACAAAAACAAGGGTAAAGATCATGTGTGATGAAAATATCAAATCACCACATCCATATACTACACCACGCGGAACTGCACATTAGAATGAAATGAGTGCCAAAACAAATTGAGGCATAAAATCTAAGCAGCAGCTCCAATACAATAATTCATACTAACAATTAATCAAGAGGACTTCAAGGACACTGTCTGGACGGGGTAATGTGGCAAGTTTAGACCCCTGCATGATACATTAAGTAGTGTCAAATTATAACAATATAAGAAAATAAAAGATTTCACACATAGTAATACTTAAAAGTCTTAAACACAGCACGTGACATGAATTACAAACACATTCCATAATAATTATACCTCACGGCAATGGTAGTTTGGACCAGGAAGTTGTGTAGAATAAAATGTGATTATGCGAAGAACTTGAGAAGCCTGTGGTTTACAAATGCACAGTAGCCAGACATAGTGAGAAAATTTGCATATTCATATATACAGAAAAGGTACATGACTCTATCTGAAACATATCAATGGTCAGAAATATACTGTGCAGATCATATAAGAGGAAAAGAAAGCAGGGCATAATGACATCACATAAGAATCAACATTAATCATGAACATTAAAGCTTACATTGTATACTGACAACTCACCCAAATTCATCAAGCTATCACCCCAAGAACTTGTCTATTCAACAAGGATTTTTGGAATAAAACAATACTTTAATGAACATGAGATGATGTGAACAACACTTACAACTAAGAATGCTAGAACCCTGCACCATATTAGTACTGTATAGATCTTTCTGCTCTTCAATATGAAAGGATGAAATGTCCACTGCAAAAGCACATATCAAAGAATATATCTGAAACTTTAGAAAACAAAACGAAAAAAATACTTACTGAAATGATAAATTCACAAAAAATAAGTGAAGCAGGCCAAATGGGATTTTTAATAAAGGTAAATAAGACATTGATACAGGGGATGATGTTATACTATATATGACAACAAAATCTTGCAGTAGCAGAGAATATCAAGCAAAGATTTAAAAGGAATAAAGCCATAGAATCAAGAGTAAAATAAGCCGTAATCAGTACTAACTCTAAAAGCAAACTTCAAACCACCAAAATGAGAAATCATATTTGCTCTTATTTCATTCATAATTCTTTTATTATCAGACAAGCCATTCTCAATAGTCAGTACAAACACCTTGAAAAACTTCGTGTAACTTTTCAAACCTCACAAAGCCACAATGAAAATATAAATAGACACACACAAAGCTGTAGCAATTTACTATTCTGTAACTTTACGTATACACCAGAGGGCGGCAATATGGCACACGCATGATCAAGCCATATTTACCTTGAGAATTGTCACACCAAAAAAAAAGAATGGAAATTCTTAGTAGAATATAGAATTCTGTCTTCATGAATTGTGATGCCAACTTCAAGTAAACACCAGAGGGTGGCCGTATGGCACACGCATGATCAAGCCATATTTACCTTGAGAATTTTCACACACAAAAAAATGGAAATTCTTAGCAGAAAATAGAATTCTATCTTCATGAATTGGGATGCCATAGGTAGGTAAAAATACAACCTATTGCAAGGGCCACCTTCTACCAGATATTAAAAAGGTAGACATAAAAAGTTAATTGCTGACATGACACAGTCATACGGTTAACATATAAAAACTGAGACATATAGAGGGAAGAGGGGGATTCTTACCAAGACAAAGGAAATAAAGATAATGGCAAACAGTGTTTCACTTATGTAAGCTTTGTCTTGCCCAAGCTCCTGTAACAGCACCAAGATTAAAAATTACAAGGGTATCTATCTCTATGATTCTATGTACTGGTTTTACAGGGAAAGAGAGAGAAAGAAGGGAATGACAATTACAAACCGGTAGAAGGAAGAATCCAACATCTTGCAGAGTAGGGCCAGGCCTATGTAAATAATGAACTCCTCGGGCAGCCAAACCATGTATATACTGTAAGGAAACAGTTAAAGTCAGATATCAAACGTTAAAACAAATAAAAGCATGTCAAATAAACAAGAAAACCAGTGTACTCTACTGTTACACTTTATGCATACATAACATAGACAAGCATAGAAACATACAACACATGCTTTACAAAAATTGGCCATTCTTATTTCTTTCTCATATAACATTTGTCCTCAATGTTACCCCTCAACAACAAGCTCTAAACTATTAAATGATCCCAATGATTGAAATGAAACGTTTGATCATCTTAAAGAGAAATAGTTAAACAAAAGCTTGAGAGTTAATTTGTGATTGATCATTTAATGTCAAATCAACATAGTTGAAGAATATGACAATGCTTCAAACAGTTACAAGTTCTTCGAATCCCCTCATTAATACACCAAGCCATCAACCCTAACACTTGATAAATCGCTGGCAAATTAAGGTTCAAAAGACAAGAAAAAAGCAAGCAATCTGTACAAGTAACCAACCAACAACATGAAGAAGAAAATTTGAACTCTAGCATGCAAGTAAAATTCCAACAACTAAAAAACACTTGCATAAATTATCTACTCCTTATCAAAGTAAAACTGAAGAACCTTCCATTTTTCACACAAAAGGAAACCACAGCTTGTGGAACCACACTCATTACACAAGGTTGATCAAAATAGGAAAAACCTGAAAAACAAGACCAGAGAGAAGGTATTTCCAATTCTCAGCAAGGAGGTTGATCTCTGTAGTTGTCTCTGCACAAATTCTCTTCCATAGCTACACAAATATATATATCAAAACATCAAAGACCAAGCATAGATTAAACCAAAACCAAAACCAAGATTAATAACAAGAGAATTTGTCTTTGTTTCTTCAAAAAAAATAAACCTTTGAAGCCTCACGACCAATGTAAAACGACATGTTATTGTTGTTTTTGTTGTCGTTGATGAGTTATGCGTGCAAGGAGCAATTCCATATTACTTCATAAGCACAGTGTTAAAGCCAACAACATGATTGAGCCAATCTATGAGAAACCCACATAGAATCAATCCCTTTCTACACTTTCCCACACTGCAAAACCGAAACTTTGGCCGAAAAACAGCACACCCAGAAAGAGAAACACAACTGGGTATTCGAATCCTAATCAGCAGCAGAATAAGATCTAAGTTCTGTGGTTGATCACAAACAGAAACCCAGATGAAATGGATGATCACAAAAACAAAATACCGAAAAAAACAAAAGGCTTTGTTGGCAGAATCAATGGGAAAATGGAAACCGAGGCGCAATGGTCAAAAGGGGTTTTTCGTTTCTCTCTCTAGTTTCTCTCTCTGTGATTATCTTCTCTTTCTCGCAGTGTTTTTCTGACTGCTACGCACGCGAGATGAACACGGCGAGACAGTTGAGAAGAGAGTAGAAAATTATAAAGTGTGTCCCTTTTTTATGTTTTCAATTCACACTATTATAATCTTTCTTTAACTATCTCGTTTTTATTTATTTATTTTTATCTAAAATTAGAAAAAGAGAAAATATACAGATTATAAAAATTAATTGTTTTAATTAAAGTTATTCGATAAACTTTTTAATACATATACTCTTTATTAGTGGTTTTCTTAACAAGTTCAATTAATATAAATATTTTATTTATTTTATACTTCAAATTTATATATAATGAAATACTATCTTAAATTTTGATCAATAAGAAAAAAAAAAGTCTTCTCTAAACAGTAACTTAGTAATTAAAGGAAAAAAATTCAAACTTTAAAAAAAAAATTAGTAGTAATAAGCTATAATATAAGTTTTGTTAAAGGGTCCTTAAGAAAAAATTATGTAAAATTTTTTATAACAATAATTAGTTAAAAAAATTTAAATATGGTTGTTAAAGTAATTATTATAAAAATTAATGCTTTTAATTATATGATAATTAATAATTATTCTTTTTATGTATTGTAATTGAATTTTAAAAAAATTATTTTAATAAGTTATATGGAATAATATTCATTTTAGAATTTCAATGTGAGCGTATTAACTATTTCCATGATAGTAATAATGAAAAGAAAAAGAGGATTGCTGCTTAGTTTTTTTCCCTTGAAGCCAACTCTCTCTCTCATGCTGAGGCTGTTACTAGGAAAGTGAGTGAATGAGACGAAAACCCAGAAACAAATAGAATCTTCTAGCCTTTGAAATAATCACTATTAGCAAATTAAATTAAAAAAAAAAAAAAGTGTCCTCGCTATTTTATTTTCTTGTTTGAAAAATTGGTAATACTGATACGATTTACGATTATGATATGATTCGGTGAGACTTTGACTTGAGACAACACTAGCCAATAATAGCCTGTTTGATCAATCCGGCTTGGGCCTGCAGCCTTGTGTTCGCTCACAAGTAATTCCTTCAAATAAATAAAATAAAATAAATCAATACAACGCCTTGTACTTTTTTTTCAGAATATTTTATATACTTATTTAAATATTTATTTTTATAGTCTACATGTTAATTTAATAAATATTAATACTAAAAAATATGTATCGAATGATGCAAAATTTTCAACATCAGTAGATGCACTGAATTGAGTCCAAGTAAAATAAATTAGTTAATCTATTTTTTAAAAAAGTATGTTTAGATGAGAGATGAATTAGAGAAGGAAATAAATAAAAATAAAAGATAAGAAGGTAAAAAAAATAAAAAATAAGATGCATTGTATGAAAGATAAAAATAAAAATAATTAAATTATATTAAAAATTATTCAATAATATAATAAAATAAAACAATATATAAAGCACCTCATATCTTTTTTCCCTTTCCTTACTTCCTCTTAATTTGAGATTATTTTAGGATCCAACTGCACAATTTTTTTCTTCATTTTTTTTCCATCATCTACTTAAACTTTTTTTTTTCTCTTCCTCTCCATTCAAATAAAGCATATACCAATCACAGTTGATATAAGTATTATTCAGGTCATGTTTATTTTTTTAAAAAATAATTTAAATTTTTTAATTATTATAAATACTTTTTAAATATAATTTTCTTATTTTTATTCATTCTATCTCTCATCTAAACAAGCAAATTTTATTTTTTACCTTTATATTTTTGGGATACTTTACTATTAATACAAATATAGTATAACATATTGATCTAAACCAAAAAACTGTTGTATAAAATATGATTAAGGAGGTAAAGTTAGCATAAAGGGAGAATTCAATAAAAATAAGAGGATTAAGCTGATAAAGTGAGCTATTTAACCCATTTGAGCTAGCATGCGGTGGATGACAAGATTTAGCATATTAGGTTAAAAAAGTTTAAATTTAAAATAAGCTCATAAAAATAATATCCAAAATGAGTAAAACTCAATTCTTATGAATTTTTGCATATTTTATTTACATCAAACTTGATCAAATCAAATTAAAATCTTAAATTTCATTATTTTTAAAATTAAAATTAAAATTCAATAATTTATCATATATGTTCGGATCAACCTAATTAGACAGGTTCATTTTGCCAACTCTATAAGTAGTTATTGTTGCTTTTATATTACTAATGTAAACTTATTTAAAGAAAAAATTCATTCAAATATTAATTTAATTGACAATTCCAAATATAAATATACTTTTCTGTATAAAATGAGTTCTTATCTTAAGTAATAGTATATTTAAAGAATTATCTTAAACGAAAGTGTTAAAATTTTTATAATTTAAATTTAAATTTTTATAATTAATTTTTAAAATTAATCATATTTCACATGATAAAATATTTATTATTGAAAATTAAAATAATTATATTCAAAATTTATAAAATTTTAAAAAATAAAAAATAATTATGCAATATAATTTTATTTATTTATATTTTAAATTTAACAATACCGATATAATAACTCAAAACGCACTAACTAATAATTTAAATAAGGGTGGCACATCCCAGAGGAACATTTTTTTATGAGTTTTTTTTTATCAAAATTTAAAAATATGAAAATTTTTACAAAATTACAAAAATATAATTTTTAAAAAAAATTATCATCGATGATTTTTGGTCAAAAATTATCATTGATAATTTTTTATTTACATTTTAAACATTTAATTATGTTTTAAAAAATTATTATTGACAATTTTTAATTTTTTAATATTATTTTTAAAAATTGCTATTGATGACTTTTAAAATTTCATTATTTTTTACATTTTTATCTTTAAATTTTTGTACTGCATCAAAAATCGTCGTTAAAAATTTTTATACTCTATATTTTCGTAATTTTATAAAATAATTTATATTTTTCAAATTTTGGAAAGAAAATCATATATAAAAAAGTAACCCATCCCAGAGAGGGGGGAAAATCTCCATTTCTCTTTCTCAAATCCGAATGTCACACCCTCTCGCCCTCGTTTTATTTGTGTATTTAAATTTGAAAAGTGGCAGGGGAAGAACGTGAAAATCAAAACAGAAACACTTTCTACGATGACACGTGGCGAAAGATAGAATAGGGGATCCAAAGAATCTCTATGAACCGAACCATCAAGCGCGGTAACGGTAGCGAGTAGGAACTGGGAAGAGAGGAGCATGTTTGTCAGCGCAGAATTTCAAACGTACTTGCTAAAATATAATTGTTTAAATTTAATTTTCAAATTATATTGTATTTTAAAAGAGTATTGGACAAAACCTTGTCGTTTGAGTGCCATTACGCATTGTCGTAAGCCACGATTCCATCCAACCTGTCCACTCACATTACTTCTTTAAAATTATGTGTGTGAATTCCTTTGATTATTCTTAAAAGTTTCCATGGCTTTCTCTGTTTTTTATCGTACAATTGCAAAGTAAACTCACATTTGTGGTAGCTGCTCCTATTTTGCTGAGTTTAGTCTTTGATCTGTATCTTACCTCGCTACGCTTAAGATTAAACTTGTTATTATTCTGAGAGTTTATCGAAGGCAAATAAAGTGCAAGAAAGCATTTCATAGAAAACATAATTCGCATTCTGATGGAAATAGTATGTGCAAAGCATTAAAGATTTATGAAATTTATTTACATTAATCATTTTGTAAAATGCTATTTCGTAAGAGTATATTTTTCAAAAAAAGTAATGACAGAGATTAATGAAATTCAAATGACAGATGTTAAATGATTCATTTCAAATTGATGTCAAATTGTCAATATCCAACTAAATGTGAATGTCCCATATATAGCAATTATCATGTTAATTTTTCATCGGATCTTAGCGCTAGAACCTGTTTGTTTGAATGTTATTAGCTATAAAAAGTGTAAGGAGAGGAAATCTAAACATGAGTGATTAAAAACATATAGGTTAAAATAATTGAATTTCGAAAAATCATGCAGAATGTATTAAGTTAATAAATGAAAATTATGAACAAATAAGCAACTTTGCGCTAAAATGTTTTAAAAATTGAATTGTTAAACTTAATCTTAAAACTATTTGAAAAGTTCAAAAAATTATGTTTGCAATTGATTAACGTCACATGATAATAGTTCATTTTTTAATGTATGTAATCATCAAAACTCTCAAAAGTCATAATAGTTCATTTTTTTAATAGTATTTGATGCGATATCAATCTGGTCTAATGGTTTTTTTTTTTTACTATGATACCTGTTACGTATTCACCAATGGACATATTTTTTTTTTGTTCTTTAACCGGTTGATGCATTCATTTAATTGAGACTATTCTTCAAGTTGAAGATATAATTATCGGGGAAAAAAATAATTTAGTAAAACCCTTCCAAATAAGTGATAACTTATATAATGTACTCCTTGCATATCCAATATAATTTGTACTTTAATATAACTTGTACTTATACTTTATATTTGAGCACATTTTCATATATTTTAACTAATAAAGCTTTAATTTATATTATTTATATTATTGAAGATATTGCTGAATGTTGAATCAATTATTTATTGAACTATTTTAGGAGTTAAAGTAGGCACAAAAATAGGTAGATTCTGATCTACAGAAAGAGGAGTAGCAGAAGAACCAACAGAGGTAATAAAGGCTATTGTATTTCTCTGTAGTGGTCAGATTGGATATTCTTTGATGATGTGACCTTTTTTTTTGTAGTAATTGCAAAACTCTTTAGGATAGTGAGAAGCAAAATGGCTTAGGCCTTTGTAGCAGAAATATTGGACAATACTCATGTCTCGTCCTCAAGGTCTGCTTTGTGTTGCATACGCCACATGAATTGTTGCAAATTCATGTGAAAACTAGGTTTGAATCGAAACCTAGACTAATACTATGTGAAAACTTAGAGAAATTTTGGTAAAAACGGCCTCTTCTCCTATAGAGAATTCTCCATTAAATAGTATGATATAAAACTAAATTTTAGTCTTGAAGTTTGCTAACCTGCAACTGGGCTAACTATTTAAGAATATAATTACATAATTATAACTATACAATTATACAAGATATGTTGTTTTAAAGGGCCAGCAAATCAGC